CTGTCATCTAGTTATTATTGTAATTTATCAAAGCTGATTTGTCATAACAAAAATTGCTGATGTACCAAACTTTCACGAGAGCAAATAATCTATTATTATACATATAAGATGGGATTATTTAGATGTTGTATAAACTCCAGATTATTGGACTCTTTATATTATCATCACTTGTATTACTGTTTTTCCTTCGGCCGAGAAAACAAAGAAAAAAAAAACGATAAACATGTTATGGGCCTATTGTTTTATTTGATAAAGAATTAGTTGTTTGGGCCGTAAATAATTTTAGGGTCCGCCTTAACCTTTATTATATATTGTTAACTGGATCAATGTAGAATTAGTTTATATGATGATGTTTGTTAATTAGTAAATATAGGTTTATCTACTTGAACAGTTAGTTAGGCTTATTTATCCGTGGAAATAAGATTACCAATATGAGCAAATACGCTTGTCCACTTGAGCAATTAGACTTATGTATATATATTCTATGTGAGTTGTGGTTTAATATGAGCAATTAGTTCTTTTATTTAGTAATATCTCATTAATTCTCTCAGAACTTTTGAGGCAATACAGATTCTAAGTTTCTAGGTAAGCTAAATAAGAAGAGGACTACCATTGTAGTGAATGGTGACAAAGATCTTTATATATTTGGTATGTTCATGATAATGGTGAAAATACGAGTCGAGTGTGTGTGTCATCAATGTCAAAAGAACGATAAAAGGCGAATACCAAGTCTCTAAGCACGGGATGCAATAATGCTTCCTCCTCCAATTCTGACACCGCACAACAACCTAACCAATAACGCTTCCTCCTGCCTTTATCGTTTCTTTGACACTGGTGACACATACTGGACTCGTAATTTTCACCATTATCTTTGTATATACAAAATTATTGGATTAGTACTATTGATGACAAAGGAGAGATTTTACAGAGAAATCACTAATTTCGTGCTGTTTATTGGCTTTGTCACCATTCACTACAACGGTACTCCTCCACTTTTTTTGTTCTTTAGCAATTGTTCTGGTTTCTTTGCTACCGACTTCCTTTTGTGGGATATATAAAGTGATGTTTTAGTGTTTCAGTGTTTCTTTTGGATGGTTTGGAAAAAAGTTTAGCTTTTGAGCATCAGTTCATGTTTGTGGGATATATAAAGTGCCTTTGTATTGTTTCATTTATTTAGGAAGAGAACGAAATTCCTTTAATAAATATTATTTGAGGATAGTGATCTATCATTTTGCTTCCTTTATTGTAGTTTTGTGCGAAATTAATTTGTCCAGAAGCGTGATTCATTTGTTTGATTACTATTTATAGGTACTAGTTATGCTTGCATCAAGACCACTAAAATGGAAGTAAGTTTTTGCATATCTTGTTTCGTTATTGTTTATAAGTTCCTAGAATAATAATTACTTCAATACTATGTATAAGCTTAGAAAGGTTGAAAAAAAATTCAATGCTCTGAGTATATTTATTTCAGAGGCTTCTCCCTACCTCAAAGAAATAAATGATGAACAAATTGCTGAGAAGGATCTTAGGCAAAGAAAAACAAATCTTAAATTCAAGTATGGATCATACTGGCGATTTGTTCATCGTTTATTTCCTTCAGGTATGGGAGAAAAACAAATCCATAAATTGCTGATGATTATATTAAGACTCGTTAAAGAATTAGAGTCTTTACCTAAAAAAGATTTGTGAGTTACGAAATATCTATTTTACTCATCTTGTGAGTGATAGAGTGGCGAAAAGCGAAACATAAAGCATGGCCAAGAAATTGTTTGATCTCTTAGATGGAAAGAAGGAAGCAAGATTGATGGAAATTGTTGAGACAACAATGTGTGAAAAAA